AACCATTCTGTGATTCTATGATTCTGTGAAAAGGAAGACAGCTAAGTGGGCAGTATGTACTTAGCAGAACTTAAAAGTGGCTCAGGCTCCTTGGTGAACAGTCCTGTCTTGAGAGGGAAATATAGAGAATGACCACGAATTCTTGGTATATTAGTTTCCTATCTTGTTGTAGGAATTTAGTGTTATACCAGTGCTGGTTTTCCAGCATGGGATGCCTGGTCTTTGGTTCGAAACAAACTCTTGAGATAATGATGCCACTTAATGCATCACTGGTACAGCTGGATTTACCCTGTCCAGAAATACCTGGCATCATCTGGTGTATGTGATTACTTGCTGCCATGCAAAGGTAATTTCGCACTGACCCAGAGAAGACATTTCTTGGTTTTTTCAATGGAAACTTATTGTGTGCTTTGAAGTGCTGAGAAGTACTCAAGAAGACATAAGCCCGTGAGTTACTGCAGGCTGCATGCCTGGAACATGCAGGCTATCTCGACATACGGAGTAAATCAGCATGGCTCCGCTGACTTCAGCGCAGCTGCATCTGTTGCCACTTGCTGTAACCCTGCTCCAGACTGTAGGGATGGTTGTGAACAGCGGATAGAAAAAAACCTCTCTCTTTTTTCTTCTTTTTCATAGCTTTTTGCTTTATGAACAGAATAAATGTGCTACAAGTGGAGGTGAAATAGTAAATTATTTTTGCGTCTATAAAATTACTTTATTTGGACATGTGCTAAGTTCCTTCTCATTCCACTTGGTTCCTAAATCAAGTAGTTGATTAATGCACGCACTTGGTTACTGGCACTCAAAAATAAATCAGTGATTAGTTCAGAGATAGAGATCGGTGTTTTAAAAAAGCCCCACTTAACGTGCACCTGCACAGAAACAAGTCAGGCAGAACTGACTCTGCATAAAAACAGGGTGGGCAGCACCCATGTAAGCCACAGGACTGTGGGAAGAGGAGCTGCTTTTCTGTTCCCGTGTGCCAGGAGAAGCAATGCTATCAGGCTTATGTATGATGGATCAGAGTGCAGTGGTATTGCTGCAAGCAAAAGTCATGAATTTTAATCAACTTTACTGGCTGCCTTGAAATTTGAGTTGAAAGATAAATGTGAAAAACAGGCAGCCCATATTGTTTCTGGAACAAAACTGCCCCTTTTCTGTTGATTAAAAGATTTTTTCTTTTAACTTGATAATCAAAAATACTTCCATCTTAGTTCTGGAATATTTTTAAGCTAACCCTGCCAGCCCTGGGTGCCTCCCTGAGCCAAGTGTCACCTCGTGGCCACCCAGACGGCTGACCTTGGCTGCAGAGACTTCCCGACCAGCAGGTCTTGTTGGCGGTCTGCTTTCAGCCGTTTTGAAAAAGATGGGTTTATGGCTTTATTTAAATATTCTTGATGTTTTTTTGAAAAGAAGAAGAGAAGAAGAAAAAAAAAAAAAAAGACTTGCCTGGTGAAAACTGCTGAGTGGACTGTCCAGGGATTTGGCGTCCAGTTTGTATTCATTGGGGAAATTTGGCATGGCTAACATGCTTCTCCTTCCCCTCTGTTGCTCCAGGGCTGCTTTTAAGGTTATTTAGTTGCCGTATTCATTTGGGCATCAGTCTTCCTAATTAAATATAAGTGATTTGAATGCCAGTGGATCGGGGTGGGGGGGGCATGGCATCTGAGCTTTTGGAAGTGGAGTGAAACTACCAGCTCGTGTCCCTGGGCAGAAGCACACACCCATCGTGTTACTTCCAGCCACTGCCAGTCTGGTCCAGATTACTTTGAGTAATTGAGAGTGCTTTCCTCACTCCTCTGTATAGAAGTTTGCTCCAGGGGTTATCATAGCTGCTTTTCCTGTTTTGCCATTAAGTCACCTCTGTGCAGGAATAACTTTGAAGGGTTGTGTTTAAGGCCAAACAACTTTTAAGAAGGGGAAGGGGAACATTAGCCTACAAACACCAGGGAGGAAAAATAATTGGTGGAAGACTCCTGAGTCGCTCCTCCTCTCTCGACCACAAGTGCTGTGTTATTTTCTCTTAGCATCTTCTATGGTTTAACTCCACACCTAGTTTCTTATCTCATTCTTATCAGAATGATAGCTGTACATTCACCAACTGATTTGTAATAGTGAAGAGTTCATTGCAGCTGCGGCAGAAGCTTACTTGATCCTCTGGGAAATTCTTGCTGCTTTTACTAGTGAGAAAGGCACAGTATTTTGAGGCCTAAATTAGTGTGAAAGGGCACATACAAACCTGCTAAGTACAAATTCCAGCTTGTTTGTACTCTCAGTTGGTTACACCCTTGGCTCAGAACCCAAATATTTCAGGAATTTGGGTTGAGGTATATCCTTTCCCAAAAGAGGCATGAAGTTCCCCTTTTGCATCAATGGGTGCAGTTTCTGTAAGGTCACCGAGTATTTGCTTGAAGCAGAAATGTCACTTCCTTCAAGGCATATCCAGAGACTTTGGGAGGGGAGGTGATGCTTTGTTCTGGTACGAGAACCTGGTGGCTGCTCCTTGCACAGCTGAGGTGACTTAGCTCTCGCTTTGATTGGAATATGCCTGTTGTAAAGGAAATCACCTTATTTCCATGTCCCTTGACGGGAGCTGAGATGCCTTGTAGTGCCAGGCTTTGCTGTACTGAGGCCATTGGCGCTACACGTGCTTACCCCAGTGGCTGATTATTTTTTTTTTCCCCCGAGGCCTTCAAAGCATGTACATATGCTGAAGCAGAAGATTAGTTTCACTAAGGAGGCTCATTTCAGATGCAAATGCTCCATGGGCTGCTGCACAAATGAAGCTTGCATGATTTTTAATTTTTTTTTAAAAATTATTTATTGTAATGCCCCACTGGAAACAGTCTGCTTTGCTAGCTCCACCATTCCCTGTTGCTGTGCTGCAAGTCCAGAGGTAGGGGTGGTGGCAACCTGTTCAGTGGCATTTACCAGTTGTCATATTATGCTGCGGTGGAATCAGCCTGGATGGCTGGTAGGGCTGTTATTATTCCTGGTATTATTTCCCTCTAACACTGAAGGAAAAGAGCATTTGCCGATGCCTCGAAGTGTCGTGACGTATCCACACGCTGGGTAATCAGCTGCCCGAGAAGGTACATGGGCGCCACAGGGTGCAGTGTGTTGGGGTGTCGGGGTGGGATGTGGGCGCCGCGGGGTGAGCAGTCGGTAATCCCCACGCATCCCTTCCCTTGCAGTTACCTGGCCGAGCAGTGCTGGAATGGCGGCTTCGTCTACCTGATCATGTTGCGCCGCATCAAGCGCAAAGCCCCTCTTCCTCCCTCCAACGGCAACAACAGCAACAGCTGCGACCCCAAAGCCAAGCCCAGCCCTGAACCCAGTGACAGAGCCGCTCAAAATGGGAAGAGGACCAGGAAGTTTGGGGTCATCACCAGGACGCCAGGCAGCAAGGAGAGCAAAGGAAAGACGGGTTCGGAGCACGGGAATGGGCACTGCACTCCGATGGAGGTGGAGGTTGCTCAGCCGGAGACCTCAGAAGCAGAAAGCAATGGGGAAGAGCAGCTTCAGGGTACTGGGGCACAGTACCGGTGCCGGCTGTCGGATGGTGGTGTGCCAGACATTGGTGACCAGTCTGCCCAGGTACGTTCGCTTTGGCTTTTTCTAGAGAAGGAAGCAGCAGGCTTGCAAACAAATTGAGGGAATTTGATAGAATCATTTAGGTTGGAAAAGACCTTTAAGATCATGAAGTCCAGCCGTTAACCTAGCACTGCCAAGTCCAGCGCTAAACCATGTCCCTAAGCACCACATCTACATGTCTCTTAATTACCTCCAGGGATGGTGACTCCACCACTTCCCCGGGCAGCCTGTTCCAGTGCTTGACAGCCCTTTTGGTGAAGAAATTTTTCCTAAATCTAAACCTCCCCTGGTGCAACCTGAGGCCATTTCCTCTTGTCCTATCGCTTGTTACTTGAGACGAACCCCCACCTGGCTACAGCCTCCTTTCAGGTAGTTGCAGAGAGCAATAAGGTCTCCCCTCAGCCTCCTTTTCTCCAGGCTAAACAACCCCAGTTCCCTCAGCCACTCCTCATCAGATTTGTGCTCTAGACCCCTCACCACTTCGTTGCTCTTCCTTGGACGTGCATTGGACCACATTTCTCAAGTAGCGTCCCTGGTTTCAGTGCTCCATCCTCAGGCTGAGCCTCCAGGTGACAACTCAAGCTATCAGGGCACTGAGCCGTGGGATGGAGTCCAAAACAGGGGGGCAGGAGGATTAGAGAGTTAAATAGTAATTGTGAGAAACCTCTGTCATGCTCCATCTGTGATGGAAGGAAGTTCCTTATATCTCTGACCTGTTAAGGTAGGCCTCAGGATTTCTGCTGTTGAGACAACTGATGACCCTGACGGGGCAAGAGATGTCAGTGGAAGATGGTCATTGTGTCCTTTGGGGCTTCATGTTTAGCTCTGTCTGAGCTTGACAGCACTTCAAAGCTCATGTTAACATTGGAATTGAAGCTTCCCTTTTTGATGCACTAGACCACGGTGCATGTATTTGTGTTACAAAATTTGTTTGGCCAGTGTTCGGGGACCACATGGAAGCTATTGTGGATTTTGCTCCGAGTTGATGAGATGGATGATTTGTTAATGTTTGGGACGACAGTGGGATTGGGGCTTTCATTGCTTCTCTCTTCATCCTAATGGAGATCTTGGGGTTTGTTGCCTGGCTAGAACTGCAGCGTTGCTGGATGGAGAAAAATAACCTGAGCCTTGATCAGGTTTCAGTATGCATCTATCACCAGAAAAGCTGTCTGCCAATCTTCCCAGAGACACTGATAGTATAAACAGATGAACGCTGCTTTGTTGGGCTTGGGGCTTGCTGCAGCAGCTGGTTTTGGTTTTAAGACTTCAAAGCTGGTAACAGAGCAGTATGAGTGGACAACTCATCACTAAATTCTGCTGAGGAAAGCATGGGTTTAAACATGTCCTCTTAATTCGTGTTCCCCAATACTACTGCAGGGTGGTGTTGATGGTGGTTGTTAACTTAAACTAATTTACGTTAAAATACATTGGAGGGGCTGAAGCAGATTTTTTAAAATGCTGGTCTTAAAGCAGTGTAATTGAGAAAACCTGCTCTTCCCATCAGTGAGACACGTTTGACTTTGTGGTGCAAGAGGGAGGGGAGGATGTTTGTGTACTGTTTTTGCAAGCCTTATAACTGCAGTCTGTAAAACCTTTATGAAAGAAAACATTAAAAGTTTAAAAATAAATAAATCAGTATTTTGAAAGCTCTGGTCCGTGTAAGAACTTACTGAATCTGTTCTGAAGATGTCTAATTAAACACATGTTATAAATGAAGATGATCAGAGTTTGTTCTGAGGAAGTGGAAAGCCAAATATATGTACTAAAAGAAAAAAGAAACTCTTGATCCAGAGCCATCTTGCGCTAGTATTACCTTGATGTTTTGAGTCATTTTGGTCTGAGAAGTAAATTGTTAAATTCAGAACATATATGAGCAATGAATACATTTTTAATGCAAAGCACATACAAGGTAGCTTTGTAAAATGTAAAAGCGTAGTGGAATCACTGCAAATTTAAGAGCTATAATCCGTTCAGTTGTGGTGTATCTGTCATGGGGCCTGTTGGGAGGCACAGTCATTTAGTAAAATTGCCTCTCTCTCTTCCTTTTAATTTTTTCCCCCCTTAATGTTTTGCTTAGAGATATGACCTCTGTATGTGTCGGTATTAATTACATTTGCCTGACATCTGAATGAGAAGAAATGTGAATAGCTGGAGCCTTTTAAAGATGAGGGGGCCTTATAGAAGCCCATCACTTTAGCATCCATGGAGTAGCTGCTACGAAAATTGCTAGTGGCTTAATTCAGTTTCTTAATAAGTATTGAATAGTGACAGTGAATACCATTTTAAAATTGAGTCCTTTTAAAAAAAAAAAGGCAAGGAATAAAGACACTTGGGAGCCTCAAATCTCACTTGCAGCTCCGTTTTGAAAGCGTGACCTGGCACCCAGGCACGTGAGATCCAGTTGTGTCAGGAGCCTTTTGAAAACGGCGTCCAGGCCGTCGTGTCAGAAGTTGTAGCCTCCTTCCAGGCTTCAAAGCGAGAGCCAAACCTCGCGTAGCTGCGGGATGAGTTATCTCCTCCCGAGCGGGGACGGGGTGCATTGGCAGGGCACCCTCTCCGTGGGGAAAGCGGCTCTATCCCCGCTGCCCGCCCCGTGCTCTCCGTCTCCTCCGCACGTTGACTAATTGAATATCCAGGGCTGTCAGCCCTGTGCCTTTGGGGAGCACTATATTCACTTCAAGAGGATGAGAGCCAGCCTGCGGGCTGGAGGTCAGCTGAGGGGGGGAGGAAAGGCTTCAAGAAGCCGCTCGGTGACCGGCGCAGCTGCGGGAGGACCTCACTGGTCCTCCCCACCGCTCCTTCCCTCTTCCCTGCCCCAGGATGCAGATGGGAGAATTCCTGGAATTGGAATATGGAGTCTAGGAACGTCTCTTTTTCTCCTTGTAGAAAGTTAGTTTGAAGTTGTTGTAATGAAAACAAGGGAGAAGAGGTTGAGTCAAATCTGCGTGTCTTCAGCCACTGCTGTACTGAACCCAGCAGCCCGCTCGTGGCCGATGCCTTGGGGATGTGCTGGGAGTGCTTTTGAGGCATCCATGTGTCTTCAGTGTCCTTTGCTTTCAGGGTACCTCCTCTCCCACGAGCGTGGGGTTGTTCTCCTGTTTTCTGGCTGCGTGCTGCTAATGACAGCAATGCTGAGTTGTGAAATGAGAGGCGAGACGAATGCTGCTTGTCAAGTGAACCTGCCAGGAGATTCCTGTGTTACTGGTTTCTGTGCGTGTGTCAGTCCCCTTCTTCAGGCTTGCTTTCATCTCCCAGATCTTGGTTTCTCTCTCCTGTGCACTTGGCATTGCTGTTGCTATGTATAAACAAATTTGCCAGGCTGTTTGCTGGTATGTAACCTTCAGTAAATATTGTACCTGTCAATTAGCAGGCAGCATTTCATGTTTACAGGTGGTTAAGTTATGCTGCAATATTTTTAGGATGAACCTAAATGCCCTTTAAAACGTGGGGATTCAAAGCAGCAAGTCTGGATCTTCCTGGCAGGAAGATCTCAAAGGTCTGGAAACCATACCTGACCTTGGAGAAGACCCAGGCTGGCTGCAGTGGGAGTCGTGGGCAGTGGTCTAAGACCAAGCAGTCTCTGAGCCGGAGTAATGATCTGTCACATCCTGGGGAGACTGGGGAGCTTGAATACAGAAATCAAAGTTTACTTCTTTTATTCAGTGGCCTGAGACAGGGCGGTGTTTTGTAGGCTGGTAATTATAAAGTCCTAGATGAAAGAGGAGTATGGGGAGGGACTGCTGGAGTCAGCTGAAAAAAGAATAAAGAAGAAGGAAACTGTGAGGTTTCCTCACAATATACCAGTTTCATGGTTTCACTGCATTTAACCGGTAGGAAAGAATCTCTCAGTTTTGTTCTCAGTTTCTCTATGATGGTGTTTTTGGAAGAGTTGTGGACCGCTTCCTTAGCTGCCCAGCCCTGAAGGAGTGCCCAGAGGTGGCCAGGTACAGCTGGCGTGGGCAGGGGTCAGGAGTAGGACTGTGAGGGTTGTGAGGGTCAGGGTTATGAGTGTGAGGCGTGGGAGTGTAGTTTTTAAAGGTGGCTTGAACTGATCCAGGTCTGGCTGGCGTGACGAGAAGCTTTCATTGATGTAGCCAGAAGAAGCTTGACTGGAGATAAGTGTACCAGAGCAGACCAGCCACCTTTGTTTCCTCCATCCCCAGCAAGATGCTCTGAAAAGTCCTTAAAACACCAACCATGAAAAGAACAAACCTCCAGAACCCGCTGGAATCCTCTTGCTTCTGTATAAGCATCCAGATTAGTAAGAGATTGAAATCCAGGTCCAAATTTAGCAGTCACTCGTGGAAACTGTGTAAAGGAGATTGGGCAGAGTGAAAGTGCTTTCAGAGCAGGTGAAATGGGAGGGCTACACATTTGGAGGCATTTCTCCATTGGGAGATATACATGGCATTTTTGCATTGGGGGCAGCTGGGGCTCCACATTTGGGCATTTCTCCATTCGGAGAAATACATGGCATGGGAGGAGTGCAAAAGTGTGCACCATGGTAGCACTGCAGTGTGGGGCCATGGTGGATGCATCTCCAGGATGGAACCAAATCAGTGTCTGATGGCCCTGTAAGGTGTGTCTGGTGTTTTTCTGAAGTCAGTGTACCAAAAGGGAGAGGGGGAGGCAAGGGGATGTGAATGCCTTGCCTCATAGAGGTTTTTGGGGGAGGTCTGGGTTATAGTAGCGCTTCAAGATCTTGGCTCCCTGTTGTTAACCCCAGTTCTCTGCAGTGGGTCGCAGCTGCCAGAGCAGTGTGCCTGGCCAGCTTTGCTCACTTACAGACCAACTGAGCCCAGCTTACATAGACCACACCACCCTCCAGGCTCGTGAGCGTGTACACAGGTGCACATAGACTTGTGCATACGTAAAAGACCAATTGGGTCTTTGCCAGCCAGCACTTGCTTTTCTATCACTGCAACTGCACTGTGCTTGGTTTCGTTTTATCAGCAACTCTCTTCTTTGTTCGGGCCCGTTACCGCTTTCTTATTAAGATGGCT